TTCAGGTTCTCACCCTTCCGGTGTTACCTTTTCACCGCTAACGGCAGAATCTCAATCGAGCCTAGCCCCGCTGTAAGGTAGGCTCATCATCACATGATGATAGTACAGCCATGATGCCCCAATCTGGATTAGCATTGGCTCAGGCCGTCTCCCATCTTTGGAATCACTATCGAGGACCCCTGTACAATTCAAGATGCCCTTGACAATTGAATAACCACACTTCCTCCGCCTGGCCAGGACGCATTCGCAACAGCACCTGTGTCCTCCTCCTGTCTTCACCCTCCCTCACCACCATGGGCGCACTGGATGGCGTCACGCCCGCCCAAGAGCACGCGGACGCGGACAGCAAAGGAGGTTCGGGTTTCCCCCAGGAGTCTGCCGCGCACCCACCACCAAAACAAACGACCGCGCCGGATACTCCACCTCCTCCAGATCTACCTCTCCATCCTCCTCCTCTTTGTGAACTACTTTCTTGCCCAGTACGACAAATTCATCCTCTCCTACTTCCGCCCCCAGGTCCAGGCGTCCCTCGGCCTCAGCGAGGCCCAGTATGGCCTGGTCAGCGGCTACGCGACGGGCATCGTCTACGCCCTCCTCGCCCTGCCCATCGCCCTCGTCGCCGATTACACGTCCGCCCGCGTGTGGACGCTGAGCGTCGCCGCCGCCTGGTGGAGTCTGTGTGTTGTTTTCCAGGGCCTGGCAAACGACTTTGGACAGCTTTTCTGCGCCCGTATTGGCATGGGTATCGGGCAGGCGGCCGTCGAGGCCTTGAGCATCAGTCTCATTAGTGACCTCGTCGCTTGGCGGAATGTCTTTCTCGGCACCAGCGTGCTCTATGTCGGTGTCTACGTTGGCGAGGCTGTGAGCGGTCAGATTGCGCATGCCTTCACCGAAACGGGTACCAGCTGGCAGGTGGCCATGCGGGCCATTGGCATCACTGGCATCGTCGTCGCTGTCCTGGTGCGCCTCGTGCTGAGGGAGCCCGCGCGGCGTGAGGCCATTGTCGTCCTCGGAGGACGTCCGGGGGCGTGGGACGCCGCTTCGTCGGTGATTGGTTCCGGGGTCGGACCCGTGCCAGGGTCCAAGGCCCGGAAGCGCAGGAGCATGCGGGCAGCCAAGGCGGATCTGCTCAGCACGGGGGTGTATATCATGCGCATGCACTCCTTCTGGCTGCTGCTGCTGTCGGCCGCGATGCGCCAGCTGGCTGGCAACGTGTTTGGGTACTACATGCCTGGATACCTGTCGACGCTGTATCCGAACACGACAAACCTGCTCTCCCGCTATGGCCTGATTGTGGGTATCGTCGGCAGCCTGACGGTGTTGTTTGGTGGCCTACTGACGTCCCTTCTCTGGAACAGGACGAAGCTGACGCCAATTTATCTCACTGCGGTGGGTGGCATGGTCAGCAGTATCTTCGTGCTCATCATGATCTTCTCGCGCAATTTGGCGGGGGACGACGAGTCCAGGGGTGTCCAGATCCTGTATGGATCCATGGCGGCTGCGTATGCCACGGCCGAGCTCTGGCTGGGCTGCCTCTTTGCCCTCATTGCGCTCCTACTGCCTCCGGATTACAAGACTTTTGGCCTCGCCATCTGGACCAGTGTCCAGGTCCTCGTGTACTCTTCGGGCCCTGAGGCTATGGGGCTCGCTCTCAGGAACGAGGATCCCGCCAGTCCGGGGTATATCACGGCCACGAGGAACAGCTTGGCTGTGATCATCACCTTGGGGTACTGGGCGTGCGGTATCGGCCTTCTCAGTGCGATTCCTTTGCTCAAGAGGGATCTGAGGATGGAATTTGTGGAGGGCCGTCTCAGTACGCGTAGAAGGATGGCCTTTGGGGGGTTCATTGTAGCGGTTGTGTGTCTGGTGGTTATTCTGTTCACCATGAGTCTGGTGTACGCGGTTTGACGAGGCACAAGATGATTCTACAGTCTTTGAATGGCAATGTTTGATCCATGGAAGTTTCCAATGATGGTGAGCCGTGCTTCTCACATATGGTCGCAGTAACATAGACAATCTATTGAGACAACTTCTCATCAATGAGGACTGAAACAAAAATATGAAAAACACAGCATAGTTAGTTTGCACCCCTAAACACTTCCCAACGTAATTTCTTGTTGTTGTTGGTTCCTATGTATACATTCCCAAGACCGAATACACTAAACGAGGACGATTTCTTTTTTTCTTTCTGAAATTCGGTCAATCCTAGGGCTCTCTGAAGCGTGTTTGATAATAGTACCGGGTAGCCATCGGCCTCACTCCTCAACTCCGAGGATGCCTCGGCTCGTCAGCCCAGAAAACGACGCCATCGGCCTCCTCCCCCGGAAAAGACGCCGCATCAGGCGCAAGTGTCCGTTGTGGAGCCCACGGCCATGCCGGGGCACCGCTGCGGGCGTGCGGGCAGGTCGAAAACTAAACCCGTGGCGTTTTGAGCGTGTCTCAATGGCAAAGACTTGCCACAGATAAAAGACCAGGACAACCCCCTCTTTGACGCGCGTATATCCACTACTTATACTCTCTTACAAGCACAAACACAACAATGGCCCGTGAGAACCTGACCATCCGCCTCGCTGAGCGTCCTACGGACGAGATCGTCCCCGGCACGACGTTCACCGCGAAGCGTGAGGCCGCCCCCTCCCCCTCCGATCTCAAGGATGGCGAGATCCTCGTCGAGGTGCTGTATCTTTCTCTCGACCCCTCCCTGCGTGGGCAATTGAACGGTAAGTTTAGCTTCTGTCAGAAGAAAGGCCTTGACTGAACAGCGACAGACCGCCGCAGCTATGTGCCCCCTGTACAGATTGGAGCCGTCATGAACGGCGCCTCCGCCTCGCGCGTGCTCGCTTCCAAATCGAAGCTGGTCCAGCCTGGCGAGTACGTCTATGCCGCCACTGGCTGGCAGCAGTACAAGATCCTCAAGGCGGGCACCTTTGAGCCGGCATCTGCCTACCCTGGACTTCAACAGCCGCAGGACATGCTCTCCGCCATGGGTCTGACTGGTGTCACGGCGTGGTATGGCGTGACGCAGATTGGCGAGCCCAAGGCCGGCGAGACGTTTGTCGTGTCCGGTGCGGCGGGTGCCACGGGCAGTGTGGCCGGCCAGATTGCCAAGCTCAAGGGTGCGCGTGTCGTGGGTATCGCCGGCAGCGATGAGAAGTGCAAGTGGCTCGTCAACGACCTGGGTTTCGACGCGGCCGTCAACTACAAGGCACCCGACTGGCGCCAGAAGCTCAAGGAGGCCACGCCCAACTTTATCGACGTGTACTATGACAATGTGGGCGGGGAGATTCTGGACGCGGCGCTGGCGCGGGCCAAGGAGCACGCGCGGTTTGTGATCTGCGGCGTCATCAGCCAGTACAACAGCTCGTCGCCGCCGGGGATCAAGAACATCCACCAGGTGGTGACGATGCGCATCAAGATGCAGGGTTTCATCATCTTTGACGCGCAGGACCGGTATGCCGAGGCGCGCAAGGAGCTCGGCACGTGGCTGGCCGAGGGCAAGATCAAGAAGAACGAGACGATTATCAAGGGCGGTCTGGAGAAGGCGGAGCAGGGGCTTGTTGATCTGTTCCGGGGCGTGAACCAGGGCAAGCTGCTGGTGGAGGTGAAGAACCCGAGTGAGACGCCCTCCAAGCTGTAGGATGGTCAAGGGTAGCAAATGAAATGAAATGCGTGACAACTTGGCACTGAATATGGCTTCCAGCGTATATGAAGCATGGCCTTGTTTGATCAGGGCAGCAGTGACGAAGTGAGGAGACTGAGATTATGAACACTCACAAGTCCCACAAAAACTTATAGGAAGGAGGTTCCAGGCGTACCTTCTTCGAGTACTATGGAATTACCGGTTTGGGAAGATGGCACGGCATTCACTCAAGGAAGGCACTGCAGGAGGAAAGGAACGTCTCAGAGCACAGGCAGACATATTCACTGCGATTATTCGTGTTTCCTATATGTACGTGTACACAACAGCCTCTACACCACCCACTAGATCTTCCCCGTCTCAGTCAAGGCCTTGCCTTCCGTGGCCTCCACCGTGTAGGGATCGACCTCTGTCTCGGCAAAGCGGCGGGCGTTGATGCCCTTAGCAAACAGCATGTCCAGCTCGGCATAGGTGCGGCCCTTGGGCTCCGGTAGGCGGAAGAAGACCCAGACGCAGGACAGCAGACAGGTGCCGGCCCAGAAGTAGGCCGTCTTGGCGCCCCAGTCCCAGGCGGTGGAGGACAGCTGGTAGTTGGTCATGACGTTGACAAAGATGTTGCTGCAGTTGTACGCGGCGCGGGCGAGGACAATGGTCTTGGCCTTGAGGCGGGTGGACGACAGCTCCGAGACGAGCGAGTAGGTCACGGGCCCGACGGCAAAGTCGTAGACGAACGTGAAGAGGATCAACATGCCGCCAATGGCCCAGGAGAAGGAACCGCCCTGGCCAAAGGATAGGCTGCCGACGATGAGGAGAATGAGGAACTGGCCCGACAGACCGGAGAAGTGAATGGTGCGACGACCAATCTTGTGCATGAGGAACCAGGATCCGGCGGTGCCCACGAGTCCGAGCGCGGAGCTGGCCATGGACATGGAAAATGCCTGTTTCTCTGTGAGACCCGCCTGCTTCATAAAGTAGCTGTAGTAGCCCATGAGGTTCTGTCCACCGAGTGTCTGCACCGTCCAGATACCGACGACAATCTCTGTGCGGCGCAGATCGATGCCTCGGAAGCAGTCCAGATACGTGGTTCCCTCCTTTGCGCGGCGCTCCATCTCGTTGGTGTGCTGGATCATGGCAATCGTCTCGTCCGGGTTAAAGTGCGGATCGTTCTGGTTGGTGAGACGGAGCAGGGCGCTGCGCGCCTCCTCATGACGATCCTTGCGGACGTACCACCAGGGCGACTCGGGGGCAAAGTGCAGACCACAGAGAATAAGCACGGGCCAGAGCCACTGGACGCCAAAGGGTATCCGGTACGCGCGGGAATCCTGGTAGTCAACGGAGCCGCGGCTGACGGCGGCCGCGAAGAACTGCCCAATGACCCAGCACATGTTGATGAACGTGGTGAGGTACGGACGGAGGATGACGGGCGAGACCTCGGACGCATACTGCGCGGCGACGCTCTGGAAGGCGCCCCAGGGGATGCCGCAGAGGACCTCGCCCAAGACGAGGATCTGGACGTTGGGGGCGAAGAAGAGGGCGAAGATGGTGCCGATCATCATGTACAGGAAGCCAATGGTCGTCCACTTGGCACCGTAGCGGTCCGTGATCCAGCCGGCAATGAGGAGGCCAATGACCTCGCCGGCGCGCGCACCGTTGGAGAGACCACTCTGCCAGGCGGCGCTGATGACGTGCTTGCCCTGCTCCTCGGACCAGGCACCGTACTTTTCGTTGAAGACGGGGGAGGCGTAGAGGTTGCCGAGCAGGGCGAGGTCGTAGCCCTCCATGATGAGGGTGGACGAGAGGAGCATGGACCAGCCGATGGCTTTGGGGTACTGCTTGATGGCGGCCAGGATGCCCATGTTGTGCTCCGCGTCGGCGGCGTGGGCGGCATCTTGGGCGAGGTGGGCGGCATCGACGTGGCCCTGGTGCTCGGAGGAGGGTTTGGTGGTTGAGTCCCGGGGGACTTTGGAGTCGGTGGGGGGAGCCATGGTGGGCAAGGGGGGAAGTATTCTCTGTAGCCTGTTGCTTGAGATGTGCAGTGCTGGAGGAAGAGGCACTGGATGCCAGAGAAGAGATGGATGTGATCAGATATGACAGGACACCTCAAGGGGCGAATGGCCGCTTCTTATATCGACGACGCACAGGTCCAACGAACCAACCGCGTCGACCAGGGTCAGCAGGCCAAGCGACGCAATGGCAGGTAACGCGCAGAGAGACCGCAAACCGAGTCAATCCGATCAGCTGGACCCGTGCAAGCCACGCGACGACGAGGGAGAGAAAATAAGCCGTCTACCACGCAATCGCATGTCCTGGGGAAGAAAAGCGTGGAGATTGTGGGGGAGGCAAAGAATCTGGGACGATGAAAAAGCATAAACGACCCGCCACGAGGACAGGAGACTCCGTCCATGGGAAGCCCTGCCTCTCCACATCGCGCGGAGAGACCGGTCGTCGATTGGCAACGGCTGAGTTGGACGGAGTTTTGTGTCGGGTGTGGAATGCGGAGGACAGGAGTGTCCGCTGGGGGGAGATCAGGGTTCTCGTCGCTCAAGGGGACTCTCCTCCTCACGCCAATATCTCCGAGTGTCCGTCTCGGAGAAGCGCAGATTATCGCGCGAATTGGACGCTCATAGGCGCGTGTCATGGCTGCGGGTCGAGTAGCGGATTCTTGCGTCCGCCGTCTGCGTCTGATTGCCTGATTGCGTCCTGTCTGCGACGCTGTCGTGCGGAGAATCCGTACAAGAAGCATATCGTATCGCATGCGAACGCGCGGTTCGTCAATCAAGCTCGCCCTCGTCTCTCATATCAAGTCGGCTGCTGCTCCTCTGTCTTTTCTTCCGACATCAGCCTCCAGTCTCACAAATCCAACACTCAATCCGACATGGGCTCGATATCGTGGGATCGCCAGAATGGCTTCACAAACGAACCCTACTGGAAAGACGCAACCTTCTACCAAGTCTACCCTGCTTCATTCAAAGACTCCAACGGTGATGGTTGGGGCGACTTGCCAGGCCTCATCTCCGAGCTCGACTACCTCTCTGACTTGGGCGTCGACGTGATCTGGGTGAGCCCCATCTTCGACAGCCCCCAGAAGGACATGGGCTACGATGTGCGCGACTACCAGAAAATCTACGCACCGTACGGCTCCATTGAAGACGTTGACGTGCTGCTCAGAGAGTCGCACAACCGTGGCATGAAGGTCATTCTAGACCTGGTCGTGAACCACACATCGCAGGAGCACGAATGGTTCCAAGAGTCGCGCTCATCCAAGGACAACCCGAAACGTGACTGGTATATCTGGAAGCCCCCCCGCTACGACGCCGACGGCACACGGATACCGCCCACCAACTGGCGCTCGTACTTTGCCGGCCCAACCTGGACCTTTGACGAGCACACGCAGGAGTACTACCTCCACCTGTACGCCTCAGACCAGCCCGACCTGAACTGGGAGAACGCGGCGTGTCGCAAGGCCATCTACGACAACACGATGCGCTTCTGGCTCGACCGCGGCGTCGACGGCTTCCGCATCGACACGGTCAACAAGTACAGCAAACGCCAGGACTTTGTCGACGCCCCCGTCACGGATCCTAACTCGCCCCATCAGTCTGCGCCCGAGATGTGGTGCAACGGGCCTCGGATCCACGAGTTCATCCACGAGATGAACAGGGAGGTCCTCGCGCCCTATGAGGCCGTCAGCGTCGGCGAGCTCAGCAACACGCCCGACCCGCGCCAGGTGCGGCCCTATGTTTCAGCGCAGGCGCAGGAGCTGGACATGGTCTTTGAGTTTTCTTTGATTCGGCTGGGCACGGGTAATATCTTGGGGCCCAAGTACATTTATCAGCCGTTTCCTCTGTCCAAGATGAAGACTCTGACGCAAAAGTGGCAGTTTGTGGATGGTACGGACGACGCGTGGACGACGGTGTTTGTGGAGAACCACGACAATGCTAGGGCTGTCTGTCGCTTTGGCGATAGCTCGACGCCAGAGCTGTGGAATAAATCGGCAAAGACTATTGCGCTGTGGCAGGTTACCCTCACCGGCACGCTGTTCCTCTACCAGGGCCAGGAGATTGGCATGACGAACATGCCCTCGTCTTGGGGTATCGAGGAGTACAAAGATGTCGAGAGCACGGGGTTCTACGAGGAGGCTGTGCAGTCGGGGGATCCCGAGCTAATCAAGAAGACGCTGCATGGTCTGGGACACCTCGCGCGCGACCATTCACGGATCCCCTTTCAGTGGGACGCGTCGCCCAATGCTGGGTTTGCCCGTGAGGGAGCGACGCCGTGGATGCGCGTGCATGACGAGTACAAGTCGATCAACGTAGCGCGCCAGCGGGATGATCCAGACTCGATTCTGAGTTTCTACAAAAAGGCCCTCACGCTGCGCAAAGAGCACAGGGATCTGTTTGTCTTTGGATCATTCACGCTGCTTGATCCTGAGGATGAGAGTGTCTTCTCCTATGTCAAGAGGGATATCAAGGGCCACACGGACAAGATGGCCGTCGTGACGTTGAATATGAGTGGGAAGCAGCAGATGGGCACAGATGTAACCTCGATCCTGGGCGATGGGGCCCGTTTGGTCGTCAGCACACAAGAGGGGAGCAAGCTTGTAGACGGACGGCCGGTGTTGAAGCCGTGGGAGGGCAGGGTGTATGTGAATCACTAGCGCGTCTCTGGGTATTTAGCTTGCAGTCTCTCACAATGACTTGACCAGTCCTTCGTGCTTGACCGTCCATGTGCCGTCGTTGGGAAACCCAGGCGCGTCGCCTTCTGAGCCAGCCCAGCCCTTGGCCATGAAGGAGACTGCCCACAGGAAGCCTGCGTTGCCAGGCATAAAGGGGGGCGGAGTGCCTCCATCACCGCCACGCACGGCGAATCCTGGTTCTTGTCAGTGTGATTTTTGTATCTCGCAGTGAATACTGACCAGCATCATCGAACTTCCAGTAGTCAAAAGCAGTCAAGTGGTAGATAGCCCTGTCCGGGTCCCCGACCTTGGCCGAGTTGATGGCCAGAATCGGCCTTCCCCATCCGCGGATCTTGTCGTCAGTCCAGACCTCGGCGACCTTGTCAGCCGTCTGGACAGCCGTGGCAAAGTCCACGGCGACGGTGTCGGGGATAAAACCTGTCATCATGAGGAGGCTGCGCGGGTCCCCGTTGAGCTTGGGGTCGTCCCACCAGGTGGCGTTGACGCCCAGGTAGACCGCGTAGAGATCGTCGACTTGGGGTGGTGGCGCCAGCTTCTCGGCGACGGTGATCCAGTCTTCGGGGACGTCTTGGCCGAGGGCTTTCTTCCACTGGATGGCCGTATCGAGGCCGTAGCGCCAATATGCAATCTGACGGTAAGTACGTAGTGGACATTATAGAAGGGAGACGTACTTCGAATGCGAGATTGGTGGTTTCGTATGGTGGAGTGTTCTCGGTTACTCCATACAATCTGGGATCGTCAGTTAACGAGAAACTAACAAAGTTACAGAACTCACGGCGGCCCAATGTCGTAGAGATCACTGGACTCGTTAAACCACGCAAACGAAGCCATATACTCCGCCGTGGCAGTGAGCACTTCATCCCACGCCTCGAGGGTCTCCTGGGTGGGATGCGCTTGATACTGATAAGACGCCATCATCATGGGATGCGGCTGACTTGTCAGCACAAACTCCTCAGACTTAAACAAAACAGACATACCTGCTGCCACACGAGCAAGGCGTTGATCAAGCCAGGCGAGCTCACACCCGACACCAACTCTGTCATCTTGGGCCATCGCGCGCCCTTCCAGCCCATCTTCTCCGCTCGTGCCCTCGAACTCGGCAATAGCGTCTTGTACACCGCCGGAAAGATACCATCAAAGAACGTCTGTCGTCCCCACGTCGCCCAGTGCACCGCATGCCACGCGACCATCTCCATGTGGAACTTGCCGTACCACCCATTGTTCATCAACCCGCTCTCCTGTGGTGGCTGCCCCGTCGCGGCGCTGTTCACGCGGACGTGGTACTGTGACAGTATGATGCGGCGCTGTAGCTCGTTGGCAGCGTGGTGGGAGGACGAGGTGAGGTCGACGAAGCCGCCGTGCGTCCAGTAGTCGTGCCAGCCCTGGATGTTGCGCGCCTGGACGTCCGCAGGGAGATCGGGGACGCTCCTTTCGGGGGCAAAGTGCGCGGTGAATGTGATTTTGTTTGTGGCCTCGGTGGGCGCCAAGGTGAAGCGGTGCGCCTTTTTGGACGAGGATCCCTTCCCTTCGTCACGCGAGAGCTGCAGGGGGGTTTCCTCGCTCCAGTGCATGTTGACGTGGTATTTGGTCTCTTGCATCTCATGGTAAATATGCGCCGTGTTGGGTGTCTTGCAATTGACCTTGCCGACCGTCGTGTGGTTCGCGGGAAAGTCATAGACGCCCACAAAGACCTCGAACTTGTACTGCGTGGCGTGGATGGGAGGGTAGGGGAAGTCCAGTTCGACGGCGAGATCACCTGTCTCAAGGAGAGGCGAGTCAATCGCAAAGGTCACCGCGTCCGAGTCAAAGTCGCCTTGCGTGATCACTTGGACATCCTGGCCGTCGACCTTGAACTTGGAGGTAATGGTGCCGCTCCAGGGGTCGAGTTCTTGATGCGGGTCGGTGATAGCATCGGTGGACAGAGTGTCGCTCTTGTACTTGAGGCCGATGCGGCCTAGGTTGACACGATTAGGGTTGCCGATGATCCATTGCGAGATGGCGGGCAGATCGGGGTCGGGGATATCGTAGTATACATCGCGACCGTGTGTGTCTTTTGGGACGCCTTCGTAGTCACTCAGTTCCTCGCTAGATGGTCAGTATTTTGTGTGTGCAGGATTGCAGATCGCTCACCCGTTCGTGGGCAAAGAGTCGTTGTGCCATGCCCAGGAAGACAAGGTGTTGAACGGCAGGAAGGTCTGCATGCCCGTGTTGTCGACGCTGAATGCAAAGTTGCCATTGCCGACTTGCAGAGGCGTCGTCTTGTTGTCGATGAGGCTGGTCCGGATGACCTTGTACTGCGACACGATTTTCTGCCTGTCATGGTTTGTCAGAGGTCCGCTTCTCCATGAGACTCAGTGCTTGAGTACCTGTCAATCTTGGCCGCAGCCAGCAGGGGGAGCAGCAAAAGCGCCCATGGGTTTCGCATAGTCTTCATCTTGACGGATATCACCAGTTGCTTCTGATAGTGCATCCCCTCCGACTTGGCGGCATTATCTTGGTTACATATCGCGAGCCAGCGTCACCCGGGTCAACTCCCACCGAACCCCTCTGTGATCTGCCTTTTAGCCAGATCTTTCTCAGGGGTCGATCGACATCCGTTGGCCAATTCACAGAGCCGCAAAAGATGCTGCCCCTCGCATGACGCGGGGAAGACGAGCAGCTCTCGGGGTACATTAGTGCGCCAGGGGCTCGTATTACAGAGCGAACTGGTTTGGCTAGATGAAATTGTTCCCCCAATTGTATGATACCATAAACATGCTGAACTTGTCACTGCACAATACAAGAATCAGTCTTAGTTCGGTCTTGTCACAATCGCTGATCAGTGCGTGATTGAGACGTGGTATATCACACGACAGCTTCACATATTACAGACTGTATTAATATAGACCTTATGCTTGAGAGCTATGCTCCCGCAAGAAATCCTCTAATCGAGTCCACTTCAAGCCCGGATATCGATCATTGTCGAGAGGATCGAGCTTTCCAGTCCCAGACATCATGTTCTCCATGTACTGCATGCCCTGCCACGGCGGAAACACCTCCTCCTCGCTGCCAAAAGCGCGCATCGCCTTGATTAGAAGCTTCGTCGTGCCCACCGTGCCCATCCACTTGGCCGAGTAGGTCTGCCCCGTCACACGTGTCTCCGTGTCGACGATATCCTGCACGCTGACGACGGCGCTGGCGATGCGGAGGAATCGTGGCGTAGGCGACGGATCGGTGGCGACAGCGGCCGTGTAGGCTGCCACGTCCACCATTGGGGTGAAGTCCAGTGCCTGCGTCGGCTGGCCGACGTACGTGACCTTGCGTGTCTCATGGTTGACCATGGGACTGTCGCCTACCAGGACCTCCATGAAGCATCCGTTGAGGATACTCGTCCACGCGACGCCCGACGCTTCGAGCTTGGTGTGGAACTCGCGGTGCAGATCCAGGTTCCGGTTCGAGCCGGGTTCTGTCTTTGTGAAGTCGAGGGAGAAGTCGGAGGGGAGGAAGCGCGGCACCTGCGCGGCCACGGCGGCGTCGAGGAGTTTGCCTTGCGCGTCAATCATGACGTCTCGCAACCCCAGGAGCGATGAGATGACGCAGGTAGCGCCTTGGAGCTCGCGGGTCAGCGCGTCGACGTTGGTCATGTCCACGGGCGTTATGGTCGCGCCAGCTTTGGAGAGGCCCTCTGTGCGTGATGGTTCGGTGTTTGGGCGCACCAAGGCTTTGACGGCGACGCCGCGTGCGAGCACAGCTTGGACGATGAGCTTGCCGAGCGCACCTGAGGCGCCAGCGACGGCGATGAATCCGGAGCTCATGTTGGCAGGTGGGTGGAGATGGTCGGCGGCCTCACAACTCGTGAAGAGGCTGATCAGGAAGGGAGTAGATAACCTAGAGAAGGAGACGCTGTTGATGAATAAAAAAGAAGAAGAAACAGGCGTCGTAGGACTACCTATAGTCTAGAATCTAGTCCGCAGCGTGAATCGTGACTCATGAGTCATGCCGGATGCATGTTGTGATAGCATGAACTGGGGGCACATGTCCTTGAATACATGGATGTGCATCCTGAAAAGCTGTAACTTGTTTGGTGGAATCATCGTTATCGCAAGTTCACGCGGATTGAAAAGGGCGAGCTCTGATGAATTGCGTCGATGACAAATACGGTCGAACATTAGACCGTACATTCGGCCGAACGCGAACAAGACCTCCACCTGAGTTCATCCGTCTTATCAATCGGATCGGGACTTCTCATGCACCGACGACCTTTCTAATTGGGCATATCTACGTTATGGATTGAGACTAGGTTGAGACCTTGGGAATTAAAACGACGAGTCGGGGATTAGGGGGTTTGTGACTGGTCTGATCACGGCTGCATGGACAAGCAGAAGGCAGCGAAAGGACAGGGCAAGTTCTGACTGAGTTCTGCTATTGCGTATGTAATTATGTACATGTACGCTAATTAGCGTAGTATTTTGAGCACAGTGGTATCCATTTGGTCTGTTTGATATGATTGTCCTTGGAAGCTATTGTGATTAGAGGAAGTCAATGCCCGTTGCTGAACCTCCGTGGAGATAGACGGCAACGTCCACATAGTCGTTGAGTAATGTGGAAAATGACGGCGCTTGCTTTCGGAAAATCCGGGTCCTGGTTATAATGCGGCTATAACCGCGTAATATTTAGGAAAGCTCCGTAAGAGGTGTTGAGACATCCCGTTCTCGACTATAAAGTTATTGCACGCTCACCCAATAATATACGCGCTAATACATCTAACCATCAGGGCTGACACTATAAGCCAACGGACGATTACTAGCTTTATAAGATCGTTCATATGCCTCATACGTTTCTGCGATGGTCTGACTTTGGCAACCCCGCAGACCGTATGATCCAGCGGTATCGTCATAATCTGATCGAGGATATGAAATAAGTAGTATTGATCTCCCTAAGGTAAGTTTCACGACTACTTCTTCCAAGTATCAGAACCAAGCTGCCTGATCAACGTCTCAATTTTAGTATATCGAATCGACTGAAACACAACAAGATGAAGACTTCTGTCATTATCTTTCTCGCCGCCACAATAGCTATCACTGCTGGTCGCCCGTGGCCAAGAGATGATCCCGAAGGACTGAAGCCCACTAAAGCCTGTGAGAAGCAAGCAAACTTGACAACAGAAACAGGCATCAATGAGGCTGCATTCTCGAGTTCATTCCACTTCAGTGTCGCTTTCGCCGGCTCTCTGCTATTGCTCTTTGGTTGGATGTATGTCTCCCGAAGCGGCTACGTACTGAGTCGACGCAAGTACTACTCAACGGATGACCATATGTGGTTTTGGATGGGGCTTATCAGTATTCCTTGGACGGTTCTCGTACCTATCTCTACCCAGAGTTGGGACCGCTGCGAAGGCAAGTATGAGATCGAAAGATCTACTTGGTGGCAAGGACCCCGTTTCTGGGGACGGATGGCATTCGTTCCCTGGATCTTGGACGCCGTCTTCTTGTGGTGGCTCCTAGAGCGTCTGTTTCGCAAAGATTGTGTAAAAGAAGAAAGCAGCACAAAAGACAGCGACAGCACAAAGCACAGCGACGGCACAAAGCACAGCGACGGCAGCCACGAACAAAGTAGCAGCCTAAAACAAAAACCCAGTCTAGGGAATGATGACCGCCTGGGAAAGGACGACAGTCCAGGAAAGGAAAGCAGTCCAGGAAATCAGGGCAGCCTGGGGAAGGAATCTAAACTAGGAGAAATGCCTAAGTTCGAAGCACCTATATCAGCCGAAAATCCTAGCTCAAGAGAAGTACGCCGCCCAAAAAAGGACACGGGGACAGCCACGGGGACAGCCACGGAGCAAGCCACGGGGACAGCCACGGAGCAAGCCACGGGGACAGCCACGGAGCAAGCCACGGACATGAGGAAAGCCAACTACCCATTGTTCGAACGATACACGAGACTACGAAAGTGGTTCACCAAACGCCATGGGTGGGCAGCGTGTATCTGCTTCGTGCTTGCTGTGGGCCCGACAGCTTGGGCAGCTGGAGGGGCGCTTCACAGTAGGCTGTATCTTCTCGGGACCCTCACCGTCGGCGGTCTAGCAATGTTTCTTGTGGTCTTGCTCACTTGCTATAAATACACAAACTTCGACACGGAGCTGCCTCATACTTATGCAATGGACGATATCAGTATCCCGCTTTTATCGGCCGGTGAGACTGGACTGGCCTACATCCTACCAACACCGTCGACAGAAGCAAATGATAACCATGCAGACCCGCTGGGTCCCGCCATCGGTTACAGTCTGAAATGCGAACAAAGACTCCTTTGGGATCATCGGTCATTCCTAGAACCAGTGTACAGGGATACTGATTGGGACCTGGGAGGCAAAACCACCAATGACATTTCAGACAAATGCGAGAAACCACTACGAAATTGTTCAAAGTCCGTACAGGAGTTGATCACTTCACTTATTAGTAACATTCCCGATGATGGATCGATGATTCAAGCTCTTGGAGTCTGGCTCTATGATTCCGACGAGGCCAAAGCGGCGCACAGCACGCCAACCATACGCTCAACACCAGAAAGTCGTCTGGCTTTTCTCCCCAACTCGACCACGGAAAAGTACACCCTGATCGGGAGGGACATAGCATTGGCGCTTCTTCTGTGGGACGAATTAATCTTTGATCGTCGCTGGCAGTTGGAATGCGGTAAAGAGCATAGCAGCGTAGTGTGCGCTGACTGCAACGATTTTCGGGAAAAGGCCTGGGGTTGGCGAGAGAGAACAGGTACTTTCGTAAAAGGGGTGACCAATGTTCGAGGCTCGCAGAGTGGCCTTGATGGACTAAAAAGAGCGGCAGGCCAGGTATATCGCTTGATTCCTCTCGAGATGGCTGACAAGAGTGTACCCAAAGACTACGATAAGACGGCCGCCGCAGCAGTGGACAATGCGCTGGCCAAGAGCAAAGATCTCAAAGAGACCGCAGGGTATCTGTGGGACGTCTGCTGGAAAGTATGCCCTAGCACATTCGGCGCCTTATATCTATGGACCACGGCTTGGTATATGTACCATGGGAACGAAACATTCCACACGACGCCTCTGCTTCCGGAAAAAGACCTCGAACTATGGCTCGATTATATCCCATCGTATTTAACAGCCTGGAGGATTCGGTGGAGGTTTCTCTGGTACGGCAGCGTAGCGTGCCAACTGGTGATTTTGCTGCCGACCGCATTCGCTGGTCTTATCGGGTTGGTTGGTATTTAGTGTGGTGTTTAAGCAGGGTTTTACCAACGAGCCACTCCAGAGAACACGAGAGGCCGACAATGTCAGGGGGTTTAGGGGGGGGGGGGGCTTCAACATAAGGAGAGACGAGGGTAGAGGGGGAGAGATGGATCAGTCAACCTCCCAAGTATGCTCGATGGAAACGCGCCCTGTCTCTGGACATTTCCATTAGGCAGTGTGAGGGACCGGCCAGAGATATCCTGATGGAGACAGTATCGTCCACTGCAATGCCACACTTTTCGAGTGCACGCCCAGTGACACCCTTAATCGGCACATCGCTAAACGTCTTGACAGCGTGAGTCCCTATTTGCCAGTTCAGCTCCCTGCAAGCCATGTATTTCATCAGACTGGCATATGGCGCGCACTGCTGGCCAGTGGCTGGCTTTTCCAAGATTGTTTCCAGTCACCGCGACCATATAGCCATAGTCTCAACCAAGCATCCTCCACCAAGGGGTCAACGCCATTCAGATGCTCATATAAATCTTCTTCGTACTCCATCTTGCGCTGCAGGCTTTCGTCTCGAGCCAAGACTGCCTTGTGGGCTTGGCCGCCTGGCTTGTCATCCAAAATAGCGTCGGGATCCCGAAGGCCAATCGACGACTCACAGATCCAATGACCCCTGAGCCACTCCAACAGAATCGACAGTTCGGAGTGGGAGTAATCCCCGCGTCCAAATAGATCGGAATCTAGGCATTCGACCGTTAAGCGCCGAAGCAAGAATTGACGTGATCCTGTCTGGTTAGCCCGGCGCTTCTGTGTCTGTGCGATGGTGAGAAACATAGAGCGGGCAAGCTCTTCGTCTATAGCGACATTCACGAGTGCGTCCTGCACGAGGCCTATCCTGGCTTCGCGATTATACTTATCGGACGAGAAGACGCCGTGGTTGATTAGACCGGTAGCCTCAGGACGAGTACAGTCAAATATAATAGATACTGATTCTAGGCGACTCAAGTGGCCCAAGGCGTGGTAGAATGCGACTTCGGCCTCGTCGCCGCCTGTTCGTCGGATCGTGATATTAAGGTCGCGTACTCGGCGGCATACCTCGGCGAGACGATACGCGTTCTTAGAAGTGAACACGACGGGCTCGTCAAGGCTAAGCTCGCGTAGGTGAGGGCCATGTGTTTCAAGGAGAGTGTCAAAAACGGCGTGTGACCTAGTGCGCCCGAGGTGCAATCCGCGCAACGGGCAAAGAACCTTCAATAGAGAGCATAGGTCGTTGATAGTTCGTTCCACATTATCGTATTCGAGCAGGTCCGGCGTGAGTTCAAGAACCTGAAGGGATCGAAGCGCACCCGTCGCGGCCATGTCGCCTAGCATTGGCAGTAGCTCTGGTTTGACGACACCGAGATTCAAAGATATCAGCGTAGAGAAGTCGATCACCTCTTTCCACCGGTCAACAAGGTACGAAGTAATTGCAGGTCGAAAATTGATGGATAGTGATGTGAGCGCTCTCTTTGACGTTGAAGTAGACTGATCGTTATGGGGTCTTTGGCTCAAACTTGAAGAGAAAAGGCCAGGCCTGCTGGGTCGACGGTGGTTCTGGACGTCCTGTGTGCTAAACGAGGCCTCTGGTTCGCTGTAGTCGACGGAGACATGTTCGAGTTGGCATTGAGGAGACGCAAGTGCTTGTAGAATGGCTTCCTCGTGGTAGCTCCAGTTGCCGTCGTCGTCGAATGCCGAGATATCCCAACAGCTGAACGTGTCGAGACGCGGAGACGTGAGAATTGTATAGTCTGCGGCGTCCATCTCCCGGGCCTTTTGCCCGACTGGGGTGTACAGGCTCTGAAGTCCAAGTTCCCAGATTTCGAGCCGGTAGTTTGGGCCTTGTGGTGTCGATGGACGGAGTAAAGCCGGGGGAGCTGGTATTGGCATCGCCCATGTCAGATGGGTCAAGCCTGGCAGGTGACAGATCAAGTCGGCCAGCGCGTCGAGATTGATATTGCGACGCTGCTGCTTGGAGATCCCAACCAAAGTGGAATGGTCACATCTCTTGCCGAGGTGGGAACGAGGATCCGCGCAATGCGACTCGTAGTCGACCGACAACCCCCGGACGTGATGCATGCGGCCCGTGAGCATGGCCGTCGCGTCTCTCACGGCCTGGGCCACGTTGGACAGATCGTGAATCTTCACTTTAAGGCGGCGGAACCGGCTTCTTTCCGAGGCGAGGCGGCATGTTCGACTGGCGAGAGCAAATGAATGCAGGCTGCGACAGTCTTCAAAGTGGTCGATTCGCAGGAAATCGCAGACCAGGTCGAGGACGACAGATGGTAGGGTTTCAAGGGTCGCCATTAGGAGTCTCGTGAGTCGTGACTGGACCGTTGCGTGAGTGGACCTAACTCCTGGCTGGAAGAACGTCGATGGACGCGATGTATATTGGTGCTCGTACAAGTGGCCGATATGCGTGGAACGCTCAAAGACATATGCGTGGCTCAGTGTCGTTTGCCACGTCTCTGTTTCGCGGCATCGGTGACGTTTGTTATGGCCAAGGCGCTTTGAGAGTCTGAGATGCGGGTAGCGGTAGCCGTTGCTCCTGCCTCAGTGAGTCAGTAGTGAGACTGTGGTGACTCGCCATGCGGATGCCTACCCTAGACTGTCTTTAGACGACGGTTTTGAAGTACTCGTGCTTGTAGCGTCAGGTCTCACAGGACATTTCTGATGCTGACACTGTCACTTGATATTTAAGAGGGCCAGCTCGTATATGATACAAATAAATTAAGAGAATTATATGTGGGTGAGTGGGAATGTGGAATGATGCACCTAGACCTTCCTGGAAAACGTAAAAAACGAAATTTTAAAACAAGTTGAACAACTTGAGACTTCTTTATGTTGAAAGAAGTGAGATACTTTTGACCTCAGCTACGCCTGCTGATGACCATCCGACAATCTCTATCAGGATTCGCAGGAAAAGACGCAATGAAGCACTTGGCGGGCAGTAACCTCGGAACACCCTCCTCATCCACATTGCTTGGACCGAACCGGCTGTCCGACGGTAACCTAATATCATAGTCTTTAAGTAAGTTGGCGACAATAGTGAGCATCTCCACCCAAGCCAAGTTACGGCCGATGCAGTTTCGGGGACCGTAGGAGAAGGTGAAGAGTGTCTTTTTCGCCTCGTCATTATCCAGGAACCTCTCTGGCTGGAATCGGCGAGGCTGCTCCCACAAGCCGTCGTGCATGTTCACGGAGCGGAGATTGACAAAAATCTCAGTGCCTGGTGGAATATAATGACCCTGAAGACTGATGCCCCGAGTCTGAGAGACACGGGGTGTTAAACCCGCTGTCGTTGGGGACACGCGCAGAGCCTCACTCACGACCGCGTCAATGTAGGGAAGCTTAGACAAGACCTCCTGATGGGAGATGAGATGGTCGGACGGAAACGTGGAACGAACCTCTTCGACAGCACGCTCTAGCTTGTCCGGGTGCAGAAGCAACAGATGAATCGTCCACATGATGGCGGACGAGGTGGTCTCACTCCCCGCGAGCATCATCATGATGCATTCCGCCTGAATCTCAGAACTTGACATTTTCATCTTGGATTCCGGGTCCTCGGCTTCCACAAACGCCTGCAGCATGTCGAATGGAACATGCTCCCCCGTCTCGCGGAGTTTCTTGCGCATGAGGAGCGACTCCCGGCTGTAGTCGGCCAGCTCCTGATACATCCATTTCCAAGGAAGCATGAGCCACGTGAAGGGGATGAGGGAGAGAAGACCGAGAATCAGGGGGCTGTCGAGAAGGTCCATGATGGAGCCCGCGCGGCTACTGATCGAGGAGCTGCCCTTGCTGATGGAGCTGGGGTCGCGCCCAAAGGCCAGCGCGCTCATAATGTCAAAGGTGGCCAGCTGCGTGTCGATGCGGTAGTTCACCTCGGTGGCCTTGCCGCTGTTCTCATCAATCATCCTCTCCCATTTGGCTTGGATGGCTAGGTAGCCGTGCCGCTGGATCACGTCCTCCATTTTGTGCAAATAGCTGAAGTTCAGATAGGGACCAATTTGGCGTCTGCGGCGACTGGCCAGGGCAGGGTCCCGCTGGGAGACAATGTTCTTGGTGCCCCCGTCGTCGAAAATGTCAAAAAAGGGGGCCTTTCTGAAGTCCTGTGAGCCCAATATGGTGCGGACGTCGTCTGGGTGGCTGACGCAGACCGCGTTGGGCTTGTAGACGTAGACAGGGCCATACTTGTCCGCATCGCGCTCTGCGGTCTGGGCGACCTTGCCGGAGAAGTTGTCGAGATCACCACGCTTGGCGGTCAGTCTTGCCAGCAAAGGGCCCGGGACCTTGCGCAAGGGGGAAAGGAAGAGGGCGTGGATGAAGCGGTAGGCGATGAAGAGGAGGAGACATGTGCTGACGACGGGCAGGAGAGGCGCCTGCGAGATTGACGACATCGCCTCGACAAAGTGCGCGTGGGCAGTCATCTTGGATGTCTGTGCTGTTGCGATGATTCTGATCTCTGGATGGCAACTTTTGTCCACAGTAGGGGGAGTCCTCAGGAATCGACACAGACCGCACCTGGATGTCTTGCTGGACCACTGCAGGCAGCAGAACCCTCGCGGCACATATTCCGCCTTCTGCAGAGGCAAAGGACTCACGGCGTCCACGGCCAGATTCGCCGATCCAGTGGTTCAATTCGTGGTCCTCGATTGACGAGATAGTAGCAACTACAGCGTTGCGAAAACACGGGGTGGCTCCATCACAGCACACATGCAGTCAGAACTGCAGATTATGCATAAACCTTGCGTCTCCATCATGGGGGTGACTGTATCAGACGTACAGAACCGTATCTGCAAGCTAGCCTCGACGTGCCGCTCAGATCGGCATGTACCGACAGATGTTGGCGCCTCGGAGGGTCGTATCGACGAACCAGACGGCGCTGTGTAAGCCACGGCATCAAACTGTTATGCGGTGCCTTGAATCTGTAGCCAGACTCTTTCGGATCCGCGAGCATCCATCGTTGTCTCACATAATACCAGACCCTGAGCCGGCAATTCGGCATCACACGCATTACGGCATTGGGATATAGTCATCGCCTACGCCTCCCCGTGCCTGGACATGTGTGGCTACCAGCACGACGCGCTGTCAGTTAGTGTTGCAAGCGGCGTCTTCACAGCTGCACGCTTGCATATCAGTGTTGCATGCGAATGCCACCTTCCCTCCTGAAGACCCTTCGTGTGTTGTGAGGTTCGCCGGCAGAGCTCAGACGCAAAGGCGGACCGAAATCTCGAGAGATGTATGGACTACAGGAGGAAGCGTGTGGTTGGTCGGGCCTGATGCAGCTTGCAATCGATGTAAAGGACCCTTGAGACCATTCTCAAGGTTCGAGTGTACGTAGTCACAATCAGTCTCAGTTGTGTCTAAAATCCCGCTTCCTTTGGTTTCTTCAAGCGTAAACAACCAGAGACCCTCAACGAGAGATCACCTACAACAGTCACAATGTCGGACCCTCTGCCCCCTGATACTGTCACTGGGACAGGAGGTCACTTGGACGCCAAAGCAGCCGCCGAGTACCGCACAGATGCCACGCGATGGAGGCTTCGCGTGGACAATGGCCGCCACATGTGGGAGTACATCACCAACGACGAAGAATTGAAGAACAGACCACAAAGTTTCGTCGAGCGCTACTGGCTGGGCGAGAGCTATGAACTGCCTCGCCTCCCGCCTCCACGGTCACCACAGCAGGCCTTGGACAGGGGATGGAACTTCTTCAAACGACTGCAGACGGACGACGGACACTGGGGCTGTAACGACGACGGTCCGCTCTTTGTCACCAGCGGCATCGTCATCTCATCGTACATCACCGGCACAGAGATCCCCCGGCCCATGGCAGACGAGATGATTCGCTACTTGATGAACTTTGCCAACACGGAGGGTGGTTGGGGACTCTGGATCGACAGCCCCTCGACGGTGTTTGGGACGACCATGAACTATGTCATGCTTCGCATCCTAGGCGTGAGCCCGAATCACCCCGTTCTCATCAACGCCAGGGCTGCGCTTCTCAGGATGGGGAGTGCGCGTGCCCTGCCTACATGGGGCAAGTTCTGGATGTGTGTCCTCGGTGTCTACGAGTGGGACGGCATCATCCCTCTGGCCCCAGAACCAACGCTGCTCCCGACGGCACTGCCCTTGAATCCGGGCAGTTGGTGGGTTCATGTCCGCAATGTCTTCGTCTCCATGAGCTACCTGTACGGGGCACGATTTCATCTACCGGTGAACGCGCTGACGAGCGAACTCCGTCGCGAGCTTTACGACATTGAGTACGACCGGATCGACTGGTTCGCGCAGCGCAACAACATCAGCGAGTTCGACCGCCTAAAGCCCATCACGCCACTCCAAAGGGCACTGACAGGTGCTCTGTGCACATATGAGCACTGGAAACTCCCATCTCTGCGACGTGCGGCTCTGCGAGAGGCTCTGTTTCAAGTCGAAGCGGAGGTGCTCAATACCAAGTACTTGTGCATCGCCCCCGTTAGCTTCGCGTCCAACATGCTTGTTCTCTACCACGCGCACGGCAAGGACAGCCACTGGATGAAGGGAATGAAGGAACGCATCATAGATCCTATGTGGATGTGCCGCGAGGGCATGGCCGCGTCAGGCACCAACGGTACCTCCCTCTGGGACACCGTGTTCACGGTGCAGGCGGCCATAGACGGGGGTCTTGCGACGCTGCCTGAGAACCGCGACGCCATGATCAAGGCGCTGCGATTCATTGACGAGTCACAGATCCGCGAGGACCCCCTTGGGATGAAGCATGTATACCGTCAGTCGACCAAAGGCGCGTGGCCCTTTAGCACGCGAGATCAGTCCTATGCTGTCTCAGACACAACGGCGGAGACGGTTCGGTGTGTCGTTGAGCTGCAGAACACGGGCGTCGTCCCCAAGCTCGTGTCCGATGACCGACTGAAGGAGGCAATTGACTTGATCCTGGGCATGGAGAACAAGTGTGGTGGCTTCTCTGCCTTTGAGCCCATCCGAGCCCCCAAGGCACTGGAGCTGCTCAACATTACCGAGCTCTACGACGGCGTCATGACAGACAACCTATTTCCCGAGTGCACGAGCTCCGTCCTCCTCTGTCTCAAGACGTTCTCGGATACCTACCCCACCTACCGCCAGTCAGACATTGCGTCCTGCGTTGAGAACAGCGTCAAGTATCTCGTCCAGTCCCAGTTTCCTGACGGAGGCTGGATCGCAGCATGGGGCGTCTGCTTCACGTACGCCACCATGTTCGCCCTACAAGGTCTACAGACAGTCGGCCTCTTTGAAGCCAACAGTGTCACCTGCCGCCGCGCCTGCCAGTTCCTCCTACGCTACCAGAACGCAGACGGAGGCTGGGGCGAGGATCTCACAAGTCTCAAGCACAAGCGCTACATTCAAGATCCGGCGGGCAGCCAGGTGACATGCACAGCCTACGCGCTAATTGGGCTCATGGCGGCGCGCTGCTCGGATCACCAGGCCATCAAGGATGGTGTCACCTGGCTGGTCAAGGCGCAGCAGGAGACAGGGGAGTGGTGCCAGACGTCGCTGGAGGGCATTTTTGCGAATCCGGGGGGGATGCGCTATCCGAACTACAAGTTTCATTTCTCGCTGGCGGCGATTGGAAAGTTTAAGGAGATGTATGGGGACCCTGTTCTGTTCTGAAGGAGGATGCGCATGTAATACCTAGCGAGACACTTGAGATATGAATTTGATAGGTACGGATCAACTCGTCCAGGCTGACAATAAGCCATCTGAAGGCAAACACGCAACCTCAGAGAAGGATAATTATGTGATGTGCTGGAGTTGTGTATGCTACTGCCCCATGGACTGGTCTACGTCCAGTATCCAGGCTGAGACGTAATATCCTTCTCGCATACAATCCCCTCGCGCACCATCACTTACACGAGTTTCCCCCTTAGGCTGCGATCTCGGAGGAGGCAAGATAAGCAGCCGCCCCTTGGGCTACTACAAAAAAAGTCTATTAGTAGCCCGCAACGCATTCCTCAACCGGCATTGTCTGGCGCCGGTGTTGAAGGGCAAATGTCACCCCCTGGCTCGGATCCGTGCGATGGTGGAACGGCGTGCTTGATGTGAATGAGCAGATTTACGGCCGGAATTATTACATGCGGCTGAATGCTTCTGCACCATGATATTACTTAGAAGGCAGTTACGCAGCATGCATGTGGTGATCTTGGGGCTCACGGATTCATCCGCACACGCCCATCGACGACGCCACACACACCTGTCGGTCTACATCCGCCGGGAGGTTACATGCAGTCTGGTCGCGGACTCGTCATTTGCATGCCGTCTTGGCAACCGGCTGAGGCCGTTGCAGGGAACTCTTGTTCTTGTTCAGCTGTGATTGACGTTGCCTGGGTATGGACAGTTCATGTTGAGTACTACGTAATTTGATCGAGGTGACTACATGCTGCACCGCACTCGAGGACTCTTGACATGCTGTGACAGATTCCCAAACGAATTCCCGTCAGAGTAAACCACCAGAGTCATGCTGTTCGAGCAGTTCACCGCGGAGAGCCTCCTCCAGGCCCTGGGCGATATTGGGCCTGCGGGCATCGTCGGTCTGTGGGTGATGATGGTTTTTGCCTACCATCTGGTATACCAGCTCTGCTTCTCCCCGTTGCGTCGTATCCCTGGTCCAACTCTCTCACGGCTTACTGGCGCCCATTCCATCATCAAGAGGATTGTCGCCCAGGGCGCCAAGTCTGTGCAGGCGGACTACGAGGCCTACGGGGATATCTACGTCAACAAGCCCAATGGGGTCAGCATCAGCAATCCCAAGGACATCAAAACCATCCTGACGTCGTACGAGTTTCGCAAGACAGACATTTATCAGATGCTCGACATCAAGGGACGCGCCAGCATCTTCACGACACGAGACGCCGCGCAAGCCAGCCAGCGGAGGCGCCAGATTGGGCCCTACCTCAACCATGGCTATCTGGGTCGCATGGAGTCATTGATCCTCGAGCACAGTATCGTCGCCATACAGAACAAGTGGGATGCCCTTCTCGAGGCCTCGCAAGGAGGGCTCGTCACCATCAACTTCCGCAACGACACCCAGTACGCGACCTTTGACACGATTGGCGCCCTGGCGTTCGGGCGGAGGTTCAACGCGCTGGCAAACGACGATCCGACTATCATCAAGTGGATCGAGGCCACCGGTTTCTACTTGGGGATGACAAAGAACCTCCCCTTTCTCAATTGGTATCCATTCTCCAAACTGCTGCGGCGCAAGAAGGCCATGTTCGACAGCTTTGTGTCCTATAGCGAGGACTCTGTGCGGCAGCGACGAGAGCAGTTAGACGACGCTGCTGCCGCCGAAGACAAGAAGCCCGTGGACCTTCTACAGGCTTTTATTGACGCCGAGGACCCTGAAGCCGCCGTGAAGGTCCCCATGACGCCGCACGAGGTGTCCACGGAGAGCATCGCCATGCAGTTGGCCGGCAGCGAGTCCACGTCGTTTGTCACGTCGTGGGTTCTCCATCTGCTGACGTTGTATCCGCAATTCATGCGGCGGTGCGTCGAGGAGGTGAGAAGTCAATTTGCCCTTGACTATCTCGTGGGGTTCGACGACTGTCGTAAACGCTTACCCTTCCTCGAGGCCTGCATTTACGAGACGCTGCGATACTCGCCCATCACATCGGGCTTCATTCCCCGTGTCAATAACACCAATGGTGTCACTATTCAGGGGCACTACGTCCCTGCTGGCACAGAGGTGGCTATCAACCTACACGGCGCCCATGTGAACAGGGACGTGTGGCGGGACCCTGATAGCTACGATCCCACGCGGTTTCTCGACGACGAGCAGGCCAAAAGGAATGTGTTCGCCTTCTCCTACGGGCATAGGAACTGCATCGGGCGGAACCTGGCCTGGATGGAGATGATGGTCATACTGGCTAACCTTTTGAAAAACTATGATATCCAGCTACCTCCCGACAGTGTCTGCGGTCCGCACAATGTGGATGAGAACGGGCGGCCGCGGATCATGCCTACGCGCAGCACGCTCTTCACGACGCCTAAGTATCCAGAGCGCGACTGCCGCATCGTCGTGCGAAAGAGGGTTCTGTAGATAGGACTTTAGTATCTCTGGAAGAAAGGAGCCGTGAACTTGGGTACTATGCTACATAATTGACACATGAGAGTATTCCCGCCGTCCATCTTGACCAACGTTCTCTGTGACAAAAGCATGGCCACAACTCTCGCCTCTTGGCCACGAAAGTCTTTCCGCTTGACGTAACACTTAAAGCATACTTTCCAATGCAACATTGGAGAACTTGCGTCCGCCGCCCCCGCCGCCTCTATTTCAGTTGGCGGACGATCTGCTGTCACCGTCGGACCTCGTCCACGTAACGCCGACATCCTCTCAGCTGCTACGTACCCTGTGGCCCATCCTTATCTGGATGGTAACTGACAATGATGCGGAGCGTTGTGAAATGCCGTTTGTTCTTCAATTTATGCGCGAACTTGCGATGTGGCGGCGGGACGTGCATGCGCGACGGAGCGAGTGGCTTGCAGTAGGACTGAATATTGGCGCCATCCATGCACGAGACTTTGTTGTGTACACCCCCTGACAATTTAGCCCCCTTTTGCCGGCACTACGCATCGTATTGCCGCCATGTATGGTTTCAGGGGAGAGGCACGCCACTCCTGCATGTTGATGATGGATCACGGATGCAGGAATCGACAAGAGATTCTGCCAGGAGGAGGACTCGAGTCGATGAGCTCGATTCCCTGGTCAACAAGTCTCAAAGCAAGTGTTGCAGCAAAAGCGCCAGAGTCCAGTCTGTCAACCGTTGTTGAAAGTAAACATGACAAACATGTCCTCAGAAGTGGCCATCGTCACCGGTGCGGCGCAGGGCGTTGGACTGGCCGTCGTCAAACTACTATGCGCTCGCAAGATGCGCGTCGTCCTCAGCGACGTCAATGTCGAAGCCGGGACCGCCGCGGCCACCGAGATCAACCAGGAGCACGGCGAGGGCGCGGCCACATTCATCGCATGCGACCTGTCCAAGACCCAAGACATTGAGTCGCTGATAGCCGACACTGTCTCCCGCTTCGGGGGCTTCTCCATCCTCGTCAACAACGCAGGCTTTCTCCGGGCGCCTTTCCTGGCCATCTCAGCTGAGGACATTAAGGACACCATTGCCATCAACCTCACGGCTGTGGTGCACTCGACGCAGCTCGCTATCAAGTTCTGGGACGAACACCCAGAAATCAAGGGGCAGGCAATCAGCGTCACCTCGTCCTCCTCGTTCAAGACGTACGCCAGCATCGCCGCGTACGGTGCCGCCAAGGCGGGCGCGGCGCAGTTCACGTTTGCTTGCCGTGCGTTTGGACCTCGTATCAGGGTCAATGCTGTGGCACCAACGGCGATTGCTACCGCCTTTGACAAGAACACCATGATGCGCGTCCCGACTGAGAGGACGGGGCCTGGATATACGCCCGAGGAGGAGATGCGTAATATGGGGTTGGCCCGTCTGCAGCCTGAGGATGTTGCAAGAGCCGTCGTGGAGTGCATCGACGATGAGTCGAGGTTTGGCAAGGTCGTCTATCTGGATGCCACAGAGGGTCAAAAGATTCGCGGGGGATTCTTAGGGGAGGACTGAGGGTTTAGGTACTAGCGAGAGTTTGAAAGACTCATGTACATATGAGGTACTCGTGAGAACAAGAGTTCATTTGTGTATCTATCTCATATCCCGTTCAACGACGCGAAAGCCTAATTCTACAGTCTCGTTCGGGATGCGTAGGTGCAAACACAATATGGCACTGAGAAGGCATTAGCTTGGGCCTACCACTCTCGTCCTTATTCTCCGGGCCAAACAAGCTATCCTCAGGCAAGCCAATATCATAGTCTTTGAGTAGGTTGGCGAGGATAGTCATAATCTCCATCCAGGCCAGGTTGCGGCCGATACAGCTGCGCGGGCCGTACGAAAACGCAAAGATGTTCTTCTTGGCGTCGGGATCCTTGAGGAATCGATCGGGTATAAACTTGTGCGGCTCGTCCCAGAAATCAGGTCTGTTGTTGAGCGCGAGTAGATTGAAGGCCACCATTGTGCCTGCAGGTATGTGTTGCCCCTGGATCTCCATGGCCCTCTCTGAATGGCGCGGCATGAAGCCGGACGTGATGGGCGCGTACCGAAAGACCTCGTACACAAACGACTCTAAAAAGGGCAGACTGGCCCGACTGTCCGCGTAGGTGACCATGTGGTCTCTGGCAAAGCAGCCGCGGACCTCGTCCTGCGCATGACGAAGCGCGTCCGGGTAGAGGGTGAGCAGGTGCAGAGCCCAGGTCACTGAAGCAGATGTTGTCTCGCTGCCAGCTAGTTGCATGCCTACGCTCTCAGCGTGGACTTCGACCGGAGACATGTTGACCTTGGAGTCTGGGTCTTCTGCGTCGATGAAAGCCTGTAGTATATCTGCTGGCTTCGTATCGACCCCTTGAGACAACGCCTCTCGGCGGAGTTCCACCGACTCACGCCCAAAGGAGACAAATTCTTGGTATTTCTTGAGCCAAGACCGGATCATATAGGAAAGCGGAAAGGTCATGAGCGGCTTGAAGTTGATGCTGACGCCAATGTACACGGCAGTTGCTGAGATCCAGTCGACGATACCGGCACCCGCGTCAGGCCCAGGAAAGGGATCGCGGCCAAAGGCAAGGGCACTCATGATGTTAAAGGTAGCCAGCTGGGTGTCATTGCGATAGTTGACTTCGATCGAGCCTTTTCCGCCGGCTTCGTCCAATTGCCAATCCCATTTGTCCTTCAACGCCTGGATACCGTGCTGGATGATGATGGACTCCATCTTGGCGAGATATCCAGGACTGCTCAGAAAGGGGCTCATCTGACGGCGTCTTTGACAAGCGAGATGCGGATCGCTAAACGTAACCAGATTTCTCATGACGGGATCCGTGAGGTTCCCGTACACGTTCCACTTCCACGAGTCGGCGGCGCCCAGAACTGCTTTTACATCGCTGGGGTGGCTGATGGTCACCGTGTTCGGCTTGGAGACGTAAATGTCGCCATATTTGTGAAAATCGGCGAGGGTGGCTTTTGCGACTCTCTTGGGCAGTCTCTTGTAGATAAAGGGGAGCGACGAAAGACGTGCCAGGACTGGACCAGGGACTCGTCGCAGAGGGCTGAGGAAGAAAGCGTACATGAGTTTCCACATGAGATATGCCCCCGATATCGAGAGGAACAGCGTCGTGAGGTTGTTCGTGACCATGGTGGACTGTAACTGCTCACCAAGTGCCTCCAGTATGTCAAGGGCAGCCATTATTGGCAATGAGGCAACGAAGCAGCTTTCGCTTTGATCTGGGAGACCTGCTGCCTATGGTAGGGCCGAGATGCCACATGCAGCGATGCCTACTCGAGTGCAAGGAGTTGTTCCTGTCCTTCTTTCTGACTAACGCCAGCCGCGTCAAGCGAGATGTTCGCCTTTCCATCAGAATGTCCGTATTCCTCGATAGAATGGCACCCCCCCGACGTCTTATGTTACATTGACGAAAGCGGCTAATGTTTGATCATCAATGTCTTCATTCTTCAGCCGCAGTGGCTTGCATTAGCGCACGACACGGCAGAGGGGCGTGTACATTTATGTTCACAACTTCTCATCCTTATCTCGTGCCTCAAGGTTACTATATTAGGCAAGTAGATGAATTTGCCGTGTGTGGCTTCGGAAGTTCGGCTCCTGACTGCGTCTGCTGTCTGGGGGTGGGCATTGAAGTCAACGGGACAACGACATGTATATGGATCAAGAATGAACCCTTCAGAAAAGGCGTGGCAGTCGGTCGTAGAGGCAATCCGAGGGGACAGAGGATACGGACGAGAGCATTCCACGGGATAGGGAACGGCAGCATTGGACAGCGAGTGAGTGCGAAGGGCTCGAGTCACTCGACCACGACTGAGGGTGGGGGCAGATTACATGTACTTAGGGTCGTAGATTTATGTACAAAGTAAATAGCTCTTAGCCCTTGAGCTAAGGTCCCTGAATGTGAATATTCACCAGGATCACCCCCATTAGGACAAAGACCCATCATCACACAGCACCGCCATGTTCAAATCCGACTTATACGAAATTCTCTGGCTGCTCTTCTACATCGCACTGTCCACGTATCTCGCCGCGACGGCAAAGTCCTGGATCACGAATCCTACTACTGCCACAAGATGGAGGACTTCCTGCGCCAGCTAGAGCACCACTCGTTCGAGCTCTCTCCACTGGACATCATCCCCAGTCATCTTTACCTGACCAAGGTCTTCTTCTACAAGGGCAACCTCATGTCCAACGACACACTGCTGGCATCTCTATACGATTCTCTACAGAGCTTCCCGATTCTTGTTGCGAAACTCCAGCGTCATGGATCCACCTCCATGAGACTCATCGTCGACAGGGACGCCCCAAACCTGCCCTCGTGGGAAGAGCACGAAGACCTCAATGTACACTTTGAGGAGCTAGAAAGGAAAAGATTCCACCGTGATCAGTGGCCTGATTGCATCAACATCACGGATCCGCTCCTCTACGCGGGCAACGGCGGTGATGTGCCCAAACTTCTGCGGGTCCGACTCTATCGCTACAGAGACAGCAGCGGATCCGCCCTGGTGGTACGTGTTGCCCACTGTGTCTTCGACGCAAAGGGATTCGCTTTCTTCATGAACCACTGGGCAACGTCCCATCGCAACCGCTTGTCGAGCGGTGCGCACGAGTCGCCTTTTCGGCCTGATCTGGATCGCGCCGTCATGTACAAACACGTCCCTCCCGATGTGCGGCCACAACCACTCGGGCGGATCATGACTTGGGTGTCATATGTTTTGACAGCACTACTGGGTATCGTGACATGGTTCGTCGCGAAGAAAACATCCACAGGTCCATCTGTCAGTCATCTCTTCCGCGTGCCAAGGGAGTCACTAGACCGTGTTTCTTCTACGCACCAGGGAAAGTTGGCCTTGTCCGACAATGACATAATCACGGCCCTCTTCCTCATGTCCTATGCGCAGCTTGGACGATTTTCGGGTTGGAGGTTGCCCAAGGATATCACGGCCATTGTGCCTTGCGACTTTCGCCACCGGCTTGGTGTCCCAGAAAGCTTCACGGGGAGCTGTGCGGTGGGCATCTACGTCGAAGCCCCCCTGAACCTTCTCCTGCAGCCCATCACTCCGTCGTCCTTGTCTGCGGTGGCAGCTATATCTCGCGAGGCGGTCAGCAAAGTGGACGTGCATGTTATCACCAGTCTCGCCAAGAAGGCCACGAAAGCGATGCAGGTGTTAGGAGACAAGGCACGGCTGCTGTACTCGCTCATGGTGTGCCAGGCCTTCTCCAACCAGAGTCGACTTCCCTTCTACGAGATTGACTTTGGTGCCGGTGGACCGCTCTTTGTCGCCCCCATGGCCTATTCCAAGAGCCTGGCGGTCATTGTGCCTTCGCCCCCTGGGAGCGAGGATGTGTACGTCTACCTGACTTTGGAGGAAAGGGAAATGAACAGGATACTACAGAATGAGGGCTTCATGAGTATGGTAAAGCTCTATTACTAGCTAACAGGGCTAATGTAGTGAACAAAATCAACGCTGAGCCATGTCCGTCGCGGCAATGAATGCAAATGTCAGAGCTGGGCCCAGCGTACTGCCCGCCCCAGGATATGTTCTCCCCATGATACTCGCCGACGTGTTGCCAGCAGCGTACAGCCCGGAAATAGAAGAACCATCTTCCCTCAACACTCTCCCTCGATGATCTGTCAACAGGCCACCCTTGGTCCCCAAGTCACCGGGCACCACAGGAACTGCGTAGAATGGTGGTCGAGCAATGGGGCCAAGGTTAGGATTAGATCCTCCAGCGTTGGGGTCGCCAAAAAACGTGTCATAGGCGTTGTCTCCCCTTCCAAAGTCCAGATCCACGCCTTGGGCGGCCATGTCGTTGAACCGCGCGATTGTCTTGCACAAGCCTGCGGCGTTGACGCCAATGGCAGTCGCTAGGGCATCTAACGTGTCCGCTTTGTGCATATAGCCAGCCTCGAGACCCTTCTTCGGCTCTTTCCGAGGCAGAACAGACCCCAGTGCGTATCTCTGACGGTGATTCTGGTCGAGGATCAGCCAGGCTGGGATAGCCTTGACCTTGGTGTTGTGCTCGTACTGTCGGTGACCGGCGTCCACGTACGACGCAGCCTCGTTCATGAATCGGGAGCCGGTAGAGTCCACAATAATCGAGAAGGGCCGCGCGCGCTCCTGAAGACTGAAGAACCACTTGCCCATCTCAGGATCGAGAATGGTCGGCCCCCACCAGGCCTCGTCCATCAAGGCTACGGCTGCTCCTGCGGCGACGCCCGCCTGGATGGCATCACCCGTGTCTCCCTCGGGCGTGCTCGTCCACTCGGTGCTTGCAGGCTGAGGCCCGAATTTGTCTCGCATTTGCTTGTTGTGCGCGAACCCCCCTGCGCACAGAAGCACTCCTTTGTTGGCCTGGACAGTGACCACGCTGCCTTCATGCTTGATCTTGGCACCGTGAACGGAGCCATCCTGCCCTCTCAGAAGTTCCATCAGAGGAGCGTTGCGCCATACGGGAATTTCATCCGCCTTTGCCCGGTGAAGCAATTGTGCAATCAGAGACTGGCCCATGGTCACAGGGCTTTGACCGCGGAGTCTTAGCCACAACATGCGGAAGACGACAGATATCGCCTTTGCCAAGTGCTTGGCTGAAGCCCCCGTCATTGTTAGACTGGTCGCTTCGTCGGTGAATATGGGAGGCGGTTGTCTCGGTCTTGATCGCAGGAAACCCCCCCAGTCCCCCAGCTTCTTCAGGTCAAAGACGTCAGGCTCGACAGTACGACCCCAGCGAGGCAGTGCCCCGGGAGCATTGGGGTAATAGTCGGGCACACCTTTGCTGCATCTCCATCGAAAGCCGAGCTTGCGGAGGAAATCGACCATCTTAGGTCCCTCATCCAGGAAGGCGAGTTTGCGCTCGCGCGAGGATGCAGGGCCAACATCTGCCACGACGCTCTCCAGGTACCGCAGCGCGTCTTCTTTGTTGTCCTTGACGCATTGCGCTTGCACGTAGGAGTTGTTGGGCACCCAGAGTCCGGCGCCCGAGTAGGCTGACGAGCCTCCAATTCTGTCATCCTTTTCGACGACAAGCGGCCGGAGACCAAGAGACTTGGCTCGCAGGGCGGCTGTTAGACCGGCGCCACCAGCTCCGATAATCACAACGTCAAAAGACTTGTCGAAGGAATGTTGCGCGGTGGTGATGGCATGACGCTGCAGCCATGGACGGCGTACGATAGGGGCTAGCACACGCGTGCTGGGCCGACAGGACAGCAGAGTCATGGCCACAGACAGCAATTGAGATTCAATCCGACTCTACAAGCAAAGGCAGAGATGCGCTACTCAGTGCAGAAGCTGGACTTGCTGCTGGCGGTGCCGTCGCCATTCGACCAAAGCATTCTGCTCTGGTGGGATCGACAAGCGGAAATCATCCGCGTTCAGGGGCGCGGAACCTGCACACATGAACTTACTTACAATGACGGATGTTTCCTTTCCGCTGGCTGAATGGTTTGTCAAGTTCATACCTGCAAGGCCCTTTTGCTTCGGCTATCGTGGCGGCGGCTTGCCGCTTGGATGCATGTCTTCCTGCAGGCTAATGCCACACCCTCCCTCGGAGGATCAGCGCCTTGGCGGCGTTAAGGTCCGTCCCGCCGATCACCAGCGGTCCAGGGCCCCTTGTTTCCTAGATGGATGCATGCAGACCATGTTGTGTGTCCGATACCGTACTTGAGTGTGTGGTGGGAGCTCGTCGACTCGTCTGAGGCTGGCCCTCGATCGCAGAGAATGCCATGGACGTCGCGACGCCTGCTAATCTGTTCCTTTCCCACTGCTATTCATCGCTTTCTTGTATCTCAGAGCTTTTTTCTCACTGAAGACATTGCCAACGTTCAACAGTTCTAGCAAGATGGACCGACTGCATCTTGCGGTAAAGCCGCAGACCTTCTCGTTGTCTGGCTTTGATATGCAAGGTTCCTTTGCCAACATACCGTATGCCTTCTTCTACGAGAACGCTGCTGGTGCCGATCCATTCCTTCCGGTGTCTTTGCTGAAGGAGTCGCTATCCAAGGCTCTCATCGGCTTTCCCATTCTTCTAGGCCACATCCGGCAGACGGCGACAGGAAAGATAAGCGTCGTGGTTGACCCAAACAACCTCAACCTGCCAGAGTTCGTGGACTCCACCTGCGACAACATTTCATTACAGGACATCAAGTCTAAAAGCTTTTCGTGGGACTCTTGGCCCGAGGGCGTGGCCACCGTTGGTGGTTTCGCTGCGCCTGCGGCCACAGATGGCAAGATTCGACTCCTCAACGTGCATGCCATGAGGCTCAAGGAGAACAGTGGACTGATTCTCTTCGTCAACATTCCACACTATGCGGTGGATGGATCTGGGTACTTTGCCTTTATCCGACACTGGGCACGGACAAGTGCCTCAATGCTGTCAGGCCAGGACACAAGCGCAAGAGAGGACCCGCGTCTCGACGCTGACAGAGGGAGGATAAAGGAATTTCTCTCCGTTGAGCGCAAGGCTCTAGACTCCATCTCACACTCCATGTACACAACCGCCAACTTCTTCTGCGATACCCTGGCTTGGTTGTCGCCAACGACTTTGGGTCGGCTTCTCACCAAGCTTGGGAGTCTATCATCTGGGGAGGCACATCTTTTCTACGTGTCCAAGGCGAAGCTAGTAGAGCTACGTCAATCCATGGAGTCACATCTTCCCTCGGGATCGCGTGTCAGCGACAATGATATCTTAGTCTCTTTGATCAGCAAGACGTATGTACAGAGCCAACCCCAGGAGGAACCAAAACCTGGCTGGTTCACAAGGGCGCCAGAGAAAGAGACACACTTCACAGTTCGCATCCCGTCCGATGCGAGGCCACGCATCGGCATGGACGGTGCATTCACGGGCAATCTACTTCTCCCTGCACTCGTCCGTACCTCCATGGATGACCTCTCCAGACCGACATCGCCAGAAACGCTGGCATCAGCTGCCATGCAGGTTCGTCGTACTATTGGTGCCATTGATGCACCGCTGGTTGCTGAATTTTACGACACGGTGTCAGCCCATCCATCCAGCCACATGCGGCCGCTCGCGTTCGCGTCGGGCCACCAAACAACGAGCATGGTCGCCACCAGCCAAGTGCGGTTTGGCATGTATGACGCCGATTTTGGCCTTGGAAAGCCAGCGTTTGTGTGTCTGACTAATCTATTTGCTGGAAGCTACACGATGGCTGCCCTAATGCCGACTGCTCCAAACCAGGAGCCTGGCGTGAACGTGCTTCTTACAAGTAACGCCGTTGCGATGGGCAACATGCTCAAGAATCCGTTTTGGAGGGAAACAGTGGATTTGCTATGGTAAACGGGGTGGCCACTAGTTCTTGAGCAGCACGGAGAGAGAATAGAACCATACACCAATGCCAACCCTTGATAATCTCAATGTTGGCTGGACTATCCGTCCTTGCGAAGATTGTCCATCAAGCCGGTGAAACGGTAAGAAAAAGGCTTAGTATGACTCACTCCACTGGGTGTGCCATGCCCATCGTGATAAGTTGGGCGCTCTTTTGGCCGAGCTATCTGCCGGAGGTATCTGGCTCGCCGCCAAAGGCGGAGTCTCCACGCTGGCGCATGTACATACTGGATAAATTGTAGCTTGCAACATTGGGGGCGTTGATAAAGACTAACACATGTGATCTCTACGTAAGTAACTGGGGAACTCTGCATATCGGCCGTCGTGGGCCGTGGCGTCCACTAGGTCGACTAGGACCACGCCCTGTTCTCCTCCCCTTTTTTCCTCCTCGGACACCAGAGTGTCCCTAGAAACTAGGACGTAGATTATCCTCTGTCGATTCCAACCAGGGGCTGCTACCTCCTCCGTTAGGCCTTGCAATGTAACCATTCATTCTGGCCGTTCTTAGTCTGAATAAGGCTATTCACAAACCCTACAGTGTCCGTGAGCGGAGGGACGATAGCTTTCACACGTGAACGAATATTGCGGTATCGCCATTTCACTGCTTTCTCTTCACACCCTCTGTTCTCATGTCCTACAGCTTCCTACCTCCTAGTTCCCTTTTTGATAACTATGAAATCCGGAAAGCCCACCACAACGATGGAGTTGGAGTCTGTTGCGTCAGTCCTCGGAGAGGCTACCACTCTCGCCCCGAAGATCACAGCAGACACAGCGCCATTCATCTCCTCATGGACACAATTTGGTTCTTGTCTCGTCATCTTGGTGGCCATGATTACTGCCTACATTGTCTGGCAAGTCATTTATGCCGTCTACCTCTCTCCTCTGAAGCATATACCAGGGCCCCTGTCCGCACGTCTCTCAGCGAAGCGAGGTATTTGGTACGTGATCACGGGCAAGGCGGCTGCCATTGCCGAGGAAGACTACAAGACATACGGAGATGTATACCTCGCGAAGCCCAACGCCGTGTTTCTCTGCGACCCGCAAGATGCGCGCAAAGTCCTCGCCATGGGTGAATTCAGAAAGACGGACATGTACCGCATCTTCGAATACGAGGGCGTGCCCAATGTCAGCACTTTGATCGATCCAACGGACGCCAACAGGCGGCGCCGGCAGCTTCATCCCTTCTTCTCGTACTCTTACCTCGCCAAGATGGAATCCATTGTGCAGACACATGGATACCTGGCCCTCAAAGCGCGCTGGGACAGCATGATCAAGGCTGGCGGTGCCGATCACCAGAGCGCGACTGTCAATTACCGTCTAGACACACAACTGGCCATGTTTGACATCACTGGCGCCCTCGTGTTCGGCAGGGAGTTTGGCGCTCTTGAGACTAATAACCTTGACTACACCTCTTGGGTCAACAACACGCTCACCTACATGCTCATGGCGCACTACTTCCCCATCCTGAAGACCTGGCCATTCAGCTCTCTGGTCCGCCGGTTAAGGAAGTCATACGACTCTCTTGTGGACTTTAGCAAGGAGTCCATTGCGATTCGACGGGAGTTTCTGGATGCTGGAGGTGACAAACCCGCAGATCTGCTACAAGCACTCATCGACTCGGAGGACCCCGACTCTAAGATTCGAATGTCCCCTCGCGAGGTGCAAGCTGAAAGCATTAGCATGCTCGTGGGAGGCTCCGAGTCCACCTCGTCGGTCATCTCTTGGGTCATACACTTTCTTCTACTCTACCCCCAACACTTTCGACGGGTCATGAATGAAGTTCGGCAGGCATTCCCTGCTGACCACCTGATCACACATGCCGAATGCAGGGAACACCTGCCGTTTCTTGAGGCTTGCGTCTACGAGACGCTGCGATGTATCCCCACGGCGAGCACGTCTTTCCCACGCATATCAGACCGTAAGGCCATCACTATCAAGGGGCACTACATTCCACCCTCGACGGAGATTGTGACCAACAAGTGCGCTGCTCACATACACAAAGAGTCATGGCAGGAGCCGTACGACTTTAGGCCCAGTCGGTTCATAGAGGATGGGGGTGAGGCCAAGAGAAACATGCTCTCCTTCGCATACGGCACACGTATCTGCATTGGGAGAAACCTGGCTTGGGTCGTCATGATGGTGACATTGGCGAATCTCTTCAAGGACTATGATGTGTCGCTGCCGGAAGGCAGTCTCTTCCGGCCAGAAAATGTCGATAGAAACGGACGACCGAAGATTATGCCAACTAAGCTCGGGGTTGCTACCATGCCCGCACACCCGGAGCGTGATTGCATCATGGTCATCCGGAAAAGGACTGCTTAGAGACTTAGAGGAGCGCAGTCATCGAGGACCTTTCGGGAGTAATCCAGGCCGTACTTTATAGGGAGACTCTGGGTAAACCTTGGACACGGTGCATGGAGACGGCTTTGTATGTGGCAACATAGCCGTGCATGTCGAAGAAAGTTGTTCTCAACCTGCAAAAGTCTAATATAGAGACCTAAATCTATAAAGAATACGGTAAACTTTCTTGTTTCTAGACTCCGGGATACACCACGTGACATCAAATGTATCATTCTTCTTGCCTCGCGAAGAAAGAAGGTCAAGGTCCCCTTGGCCAGGTTCTTTTTAACAGCTGTGAGATTTAGAAGTATACTATTGATCACCTAGTAGATATATACTATGGCCAAGGTGACCATGTCAAGACTCAACGGTGAATATGTGGCTTAACTCGACTTAGATTCATCATCATACTCAATATAACTATAACTACTGGGATATTTCTCCTCCAGCTCCTTCCAGGTAAGCATATAGCCTGATGGCGTTTCGTTGAAGAACTTCACATTCTGCGTGCCGAAATCATCGTCGTCTATAGCGTCACGCCACCAAACAACGCCATCCGTGCAAATCACATGCACCTCCTTGATGCTAGGGAAATCCGTGGCCATCTCATTAGACCTCCAGTAACACCAGTTCTCGTTTCGGCTGCCTTGTATACGCAGACGCTGAATCAGGGGTTTCTCAGGCTTGATAGGTTCAAAGGTAATAGGCCTGACGGAGATCATATCGAACTCAAAGTTGACCCACGTATCCCGAGGCTTGGACCCTGACGTGAAGGCACGCACGTAAAGAGAACGGGCCAATGCACAGCGCCGAGCTTCGCGACAGACGTGTAGGACGGCAGGTGGGCGTACGGGCGACCTAATGTACTCGATCTGCTTGAAAACAATAGTAGGGGGATGCGTGTAGACCTCGACAATCCGCGGTTCGGCCTCCGTAAGCTCCCAAACACGGGTACGGATCTCAGGCGGCAGACGCGAAAATTGGTGGAATCTGTCGCGTTTCTTGATCACCACCGGCGGTGGTCTCTTGGGTCGTTTGCCCATTTCGTGGGCGAATCTGAAAGAGTCGTCCTAACTGCTGCTATGTTCAGAGTAATGTGGTTTGGGGGAGGCAGATAGGGGTTTGCGCCATTAATAGCCTTCGAATTGGTGTGGTGAGTCACTGAGTCTGGTGACCGCGTTCGCTGGGCTCTTCTAATAGCAGGAGGTCGGCAACAAGGGAGAATCCCGAACTCGTCTTAATATGGGTGTTCTAGAACGCCCATATCTGCTCTTTTTAGCGCCAGAACTTTTGCTCAGACCGCCATACATGGGTGCCCGTCAGGCAGTTGGTTGAGATAGACTCGGTCTCAATTGTGCATGCCAAGTGTTTGCCGCCATGCTTAGCCTCGGAATTTCAACGTCGAACAAGAGTGCTTGCCCGACTAATATACTGGTCATGTGCCCTCAATTGTCATTCAGAGCTGCCTTTGCTGTAACTGCATCTTTTCAGCATAACTCAGTGTCCAGCTAGACGACTCTTGCCCTTGGCCTTTGTCGATACTCGCACTGGTCAACTGGTCTGGCGCTACTCTCTAACGAAACAACCTACAAAGCAACTTTGAGTATCCAGATAACGACATTCAGGATGAACTCGATGCATTTCACAGCGCTCGCCAAATTCCTGGCGTTCCTCGTTGCCGCTCGCCCAGTGGTGGCTCGTGGGTACCACCCTGGACTCCAATGGGACCCTGAGCCTGCCTTACCCTGCATCACTTGGTATGACAACGCAGAAGGCGAGTCTTGTGAAGAAGTCCGAGACTACTGGAACATCACCCCGGAGGAGTTCACCAAGTGGAATCCCTCCGTCGGCCTCGACTGCAAACCCTGGCGCTACCAATCGTACTGCGTCGTTCCCCAAAGAACCTGTTCTTGAGAAACGCATTAGTCAGGATGGCGGTGACGACAATCTGATCATTGCCGACTGCCAGGAGACTTGCTACCAGGAGGCCTTCATCTTCGCGGGCGTCAAGGCTGGGAACGAATGCTGCTGCAGCACCTACATCGCCGGCGGGAGGACCAACAATGCGACTGCTGAATTCAACTCGCCCGGCACGGGTGACGACAAGGTCAATTGCGGTGGCAAGGACCGAGTGGACGTATTTGCACCTCTTATCCCCGCTGATTACTACGACCGGAAACCTCAAGCAGTCCCAGACCGCTGGAGACGGAAGCGCAGAGCAGGAGAGTGACGAGGCTGAAGCGGAGCCCAGCCAGTCCTCGAGTGCGAGCGAGGACAGTGTGGTGCAGGAGGACGACGCTGAATCTGGTGCGTCGATGAATCGCGCTATGTTCATACGAGGCTTTCTAGACTGAATTCCTCGTTTGGAGTCGGCTCGGTGTCCAGGAGACCGACCCGATGGTTGTCCGGCTCGGGGGGGGGGGGGGGGGGGGGGGGGGGGGGGGGGGGGGGGGGGGGGGGGGGGGGGGGGGGGGGGGGGGGGGGGGGGGGGGGGGGGGGGGGGGGG